TGAATACACTATATTGAGCATTTGTTGTGCAGAAGCATAATACATGGTGATTTTTTTCAGAGGTATAAACTTTTTGGTACCTAAGAAGTTTATAATCTAAATTGGAACTCTACATCCAAAGTATAAAAGGGCTATCTGTGGCCATGATTTATGGTTAATAATATATTAATAACATGTTAATAACCATGTTAGCATTTATGATTGATAATGAGTACATAGACTAAGAAGAATTCTCCAGATTACACAAGTGCTTGGTACACAGATAAACTTTGGCACAGAAACAAAAACAAGAAGATTATCTAGAAGTAACTTTCAGAGCTAAAAAAGAAAAAAAAATGCTGTAGTAACTGCTATCTTCCATTTACCTTGAATGCTTTTGTGTAAATTTGTAGAGTATGTATTTTAGGATGCCATCCTCAGCCAACTCTACCCTTTAAAAGCTAGGAATACAAGTAGTACTTAAATGTAGTTGTGCTTTGGAACCAAGAGTCTGAAAGAAAATGGTATTTTTCTGTACTGCTCTAGGAAACCAGGTGTGTGATACCCACAATGACAATTCAGCCATTCAAAATATACTTTTGATTACACAGCAACTTTCTCAGGAAAAAATTAACTATGTCAAAATAAGTACTCGGTAAGCGGACATTCTGTAGCTAAGAATTTGGTATAATTCATTAACTACTAACCTAACTATAATGTCTAGTTTTAAATTTTGTTGGAGCCCACTATTAAGTCTGATGACAATAAAAACATTATTAACTACAAGTGTTTAAAAAAATCTGATACCAATATACCAACCTTTTGCCAGTGTTTATGTTAACCTTTGATATTAGTATATAACACATGTCAGTTGGGGATGGAGGGTGGGGAAAGGAACTCTAAAAGTTTTAGTATCAGTAATACTCTATCTAACCTTGAAAGGGAATGTCAAAGCACATGTTATGTGCTTGAGTGTCAGAAGGATATAGATCAAAGACATAGTAAAAAGAAAGACATCACTGCTTCACAATACTTTTCTTTAAATCTAGATTATATTAAATCAATCATTACAGTTACCAAAGTATTCCACCATAAAAACCAAAGGTATATATGTCACTGAAAAGATAAATACTGCATTTATCTTCCCAGATATTCCATAAGACTGATAGCACCTTAGTAATACATATTCACTGATTCACAAACTAAATGCCATAAAGATGGAAGGCAGGGGCCTCCCCTGCTGGCGGAGCGGTTGAGCACCAGGCTGCAAAGCTGCCCGCAGCCTCTGCAGCGCGGGTTGATCCCCGGCCTCCGGCGAGGGTCCCACATGGCACGACAGACCTCTCCTGCCCCGCCTTCTGCTCCGCTCAGCAGTGTATTTCGTCACTCTGCCTGTTCTGTTCCCCGCTCTGGCTCTGGTGAATTCTTTCACCCTCCTGCACTTCTGACTGTACCCAGTGCTTGTATAAATAAATAAATAAATAAATCTTTAAAAAAAAAAAAGATGGAAGGTAAATTAAACTTTTGAATTTAGTAGATTTGTGATATTGGCCTATTTTCCAAAAGAATAAATAAAAACTAAAATTACAGTTCTTAATTAAAAACAAGTCTTAATCTTTTCAATTGTCACATTCCCCAAATTTAATTTCCTCAAATAGGGATCTTACTGCACACAAATCCAAGACATTGTTGCAAAATAACACATTTTAAAATTTAAGGTAACTGTTTCTAAAGTAGGCAAAATAACTCAGTTTTTGTACTCCTGAAGTTATCAGGCTTGGTGTCATGGACATGAGTATTCAATATTCTTTGGTACTGTTGTTTACCACTTTATCAAGACTAAAGATCTCTAAAATATAAAGACCAAAGTCATTTCATGTAACTGGCAAGGTCCAAACTACTGATTTGGGGCATTTTGTGACAAGAAAAATTTAAAACATGGTAAAGGAGAGAAGCAAAAGAAAAAGGAAAAAGACCAACCTCACCACCCTTCAAAAATAAAATAAAATAAAATAAGCCCTAGAACTCTTTTCTCTCTAAAAATTTCACTAATTTCCTAACAATTCTCTTTTTTATAATCATTCAACCCATTTTTACATCTCCTTTACATTTTCCTCAGTATAGTTCAAATTCAAACTAGTGATACAGATGCTAAAAGTGTTTCAATGCTATTATTATAAATCTTAAGGTATTAAAATGAGAATTAAAGAAATATATATCTAAACAAGTAATTGATAGACACCTTAAAAATACTTAGTTTGCATAATTTGCAAATGTTTCGACACTCCTAGTACATTTTATTATATAAAATAGTTCAATAGCAATGTGGTTCCACTGCACAGGGTTTCTCAGAAACTAGGATGATTCAGCAAAGTAATTCTAATTGCAGTTTTTCTGATCTATTAACTTTCAATCAATAAGGCAAAATACTTAAATTAGAATAAAAAATTTACCTAAGTAAAGTTGATCTTTAGAAATAATGTTTTCTAAACTGCTTTTGAAAACAGTTAAGTAGGCAGCTCTACAATTCATATAAAATATCTCCTCTTCTGTTAGTGGAAATTTCTTTGTCCGAGTACTCTCTGAAAGTGTTGATTTCTGATTGGAGAAAGCGGTATCACTTCCTGGACTGATGGCCATTCTATAAGAAAATAATTTTAAAATTTGTTTTAGCTGATGCTGAAATAAGAGGAAAATTCAGGACATTAAAGTTTTTGTGTGAAAAAAGACAAATATCATAATATGTATATAGACGTACTACCATCTGTTAACAAGAATTCGCCCTTGGCTCTTGATTCATTTATAGATGATATAGATTTATGGATATAACATATGATTTATATATAAATATATAAGTAAAAGTAAGTAATATATGTGTGAGCAAGTAAGGTAGGGAAGAAGGAAGAAGTTGAAGAGAGAGAAAAGGGAGGAGGGAGAGGGAGAGAAAGAGAAAGAACACCAAAGGACAAAGCCAAAACAGAGATGCAACATAACTAATAAAGAACAATCATAGAGCAACGGAAATCACACTTCTATTTTCTCAAAATAAGAGAACAGTCAGTTGAGACTCTTCCCCGGGTTGTCATGAGAATGAAATAAATTAATACGTGTGAAGCATACAGAATAGTGCCTGGCACATAATACGTGGTAAATAAACTGCAGATAGAGTAAAACTTCACAGTGATGAGAATTGAGATATGCCATGATTGGCATCCCTCCTCCACAGCAGGATCAAGCAGGTAATTTCACGAACATCTCAATAATGCAGCCACACATTTTAAATGACTGAATTTTAAAATCCCATTTATAGTATTATGATGAGATTTTACTGTGTTCCATTACCAATACTAATATTTTGGATTTATATAGCACCTCTGCTCATAAGAGCTTAAAGAACTATCACGTAACTTGATTTATCCCTACTACAGTGGTCAGGTATTTTTTTGTCCGTTTTACAGATAAGGATATTGAGGGACAGAGATGTCACCCAGCTGATAGTAAGTAGCAGAAGGCAGTAAATTTCAATGACAGTTTCTTCTATATTAATGTGAACAAAGGCTTCTCATGCAACAGTTAATACAAGGCACTAAATTGTGCTGGTGCTCTAACAGCTTCCAACATTATTTTACTCAGCTTTGACTTCTAAGAATACATTCCAACCTAATAAATTGAATATTTCAAGTTCAACAATAAGACGACACAGGTAGGGTCCCCTTCAGGACTCATTGGATCCTTACTCAGGAGGCCTAAATCACTTGCACCTTCTTGAATTATATAGGTCTTTTACACTTGGGAAAGAAAGATAATAATCGCTTATCATGGATGAAGTACCCTATTTATAATACACAGACCGCCTGCCTGACACTTTCATATTACACCAGATTTAGAAGGACCCCATAGGGATGTGGTGTCACAGTCTGGTTACTGCAAATTGGTATCACTATAATTAAGCATCAGAGTTTTAAACACATATACGTGCACGCATCTCCTCACAAACGCGAAAACTGTTCCAATAAGAAAAGGGAGAATAAAGTTCAATTTGCAGGAAGTAATTTTAAAATGTGGTGTTTTTTTCTTTTTTTAAAGAATCGTCCTCATATACTCTTTCCAAAAGAAGTGACTCCCTCACGGGGAAATCCCACTGCAGAAATGTTCCAGAATTCTATTCTTTCCCTTGCTATGACGAGAGACTAAACTGAAGCTTAAATAAATATATAATTGCACCCCTCAGGCTTACAAACCTCCTTCATTTAAAACTCCAGCCCGAGACCCAGACAGGGGCCTAGAGAGAACATTGCAGCAAACGGCTCCATAAATAACCAGCCACACAATAGCAAGAAAAATAAACTGTTAACAAGCGCCTATGGCTTCCAAAGGGCCAAGCGAAAACAGAGCCAGCCAGTCACCGTTTCATCCCAGGGAAATACGTGCACAGCTGATCTTGGACCACCTCTCTCTATTCTTGAATTCCTCTGGGCATAAAACTGTATTTATATGTATATTTCAGGAACTTCCAAAGACAATGTTAGTATGAAAAAGAAGTTTTGTTTTTTTTTTTTTAAAGCGGGGCGTGGTGGGGTGGGAGAAGAGAAAGTCGAATAGTGACGGATCGAGGGAGCAAAGAGGCCGAGACAGCAAGCTGTTTGCTACCTAATTTCAGTTCAGAAACGAGAAAGCGCAGCCGATCCTCTTGGCAGATTCCGCGATGCTCTCGCCGCCGCAGGACAGACCGCGGCCTGTCTTCAATTGCCATGGCAACTGCGCCTCCGCGCCACCGGAAACTAGATACAGAGCACGTCCCACACTGTCCGGCTAGGAATCTAGACACAGTCCACCCCGAGCCAACAGAGATGGCTCTATTGCTCCTCATCGAAGGGCAGTTTACGACTAGCATCCTGCGAGAGGGGCCAGGGTTGAACTGGCAGGGACTGGCAGAGGTCCTAGGGGAGTGCACTCCCGCCCCCTGCATACACTCGGAACTCTAGTGACTGGCAGCGTGTTTCCGGCGGGCCTCGATGAATGTGACACCGTTTTGAGCGCCCGCCCTCCCGCGCTTTTCAGGCTTCAGCGTTGCGCTCGCAAGTATTTCTGACCGCGGAGGAGGTTGCTTAGTCGTTTTTATCCGACGGCGGTGCCGCTTTCCTGACAGTCGAAATGCCGTAGGTATCTCCTCCCCACGTATTGCTGCTTGTTGGGCCCTCTGTGAAAAAGAAGAGATTACATATGACCCGATAACCATTTTCGTTTTGCTGCTTTTCTGAATTTTGTGTCCTCAGTTGACAGTTCCTGTTGCTTGGTCTCCTCCACCCATCTGTGCCCCTCTGAGAGCCGTGCTCCTCCAGGAGTCCATGCTCACTTTAATTCTGATTCTCCCAGGCTTTTGGCAGAGTTGCTTTCATAGGCTATGGCTATATATTAGCCATGTATTGCTTGACATAATTTCAAAACATGGCTAATTTTACCGAGGATGGGACAGAGTAGATTGAAACACGACGTATAATTTGATAAAGTCCTCTAGTGTCCACATTAATGTGGTCAGTTCATATAAAAATGGAAGAACTCAAGGACTAGGTCTCAAGAGACCTGAATTCCAGCTCTGAAACAAGGAAACAGACAATTAAGGAAAGAACTATCCAACCATTAGGCAAGTCTTAACCAACTGTGAGCTTCAAGCTTCCTACTTATTGCTGCCCTATTTAAAAACAAACAAACAAACAAAAAAACTCAGTAAAGAACTTGGCGGGGGCGGGAATAGTATCTAATACGTGAAAATTTCTGGCTTTCCCTTTTTCCAAGCTGGCTTAGGTACCCCATCCCGTGTATGTCTACACTAACATTGCCCCGTTCAGGTTTGAGCAAAATGCAGAGTAACCTAGTGGGAGAAACAATTGTATCAAATAGAAATTGGCATGAAAATGGAAAGATATACAGGAACAATAACCTACTTTTGTTAAATCTTTAATTACGATTTGGATACTGTGCTGTATGAAGGTGGAGTAGTGTTTAAGTCATGTTGATGACTTGTGGTTATGCATTTGAGATACTAAATGGGATTGTGTAAGCTATCTTGTTTCTAGTTTCGTTGAACCTTGACAGGGAAAAATGTAGTTGAGTAATTTTGGAAATACACATGGCTTCAGTGAATCTAAAATAAATAGGAAACCGTGTTTAATGACACTAGAATGAATGGATGAATCTTCAAACCATAATGGGTGAATGAACCAATTTCTGGAAGACTGAATATAGTATAATAACTTTCTAAAGTTTAAGAACAAACAAAAACAAACTTATTACTTAGGAGTAAGTATGTATGTATGTGATAAGATTAATTAAAAAAACAAAAATAATAAGTACAAAATTCGGTTTAATGGTCACAATGTAGGGAAAGCAGAGACTAGAGAAGCAGATAGGGGTATGTACCTACATTAAAAATGATTTAGTACTTAAACTTTGTAGTAAGCTTACATTTTTTTATTTTCATATTATACCTCTCATAACTTGCTCATCTTACGTGTATCTTTTGGTGTGCATCAACACTACTTAAAATGTTTTTAAAGGATTTAGAAGTTACCTATCTTGAATTAAGTGCTCAGTTAACTATATAGTTTCTCTGCAGTCTCTTTGGTCATGTAAGACAGATACTATCTTGGAACTAAATGTGACTTCTGGTTTGATTAGGTTAATTACCTCCCCTTTCAAACTTGCTCCTCCTCAATGTATGTTACAAAATTAGTGGCATCATCATTTTTTCTAAGTTGAAAGTTTATTTATTTTTTTATATTTGAAGACTTTGGAGCAAAATAAACCAGGATTTGAATCTTGGTTTTGCTGCTTTAGTGGTTGTAGGACCATTAGATTGTTACTCAGTGTTCTTTTCAGCAAGATAGTTACTTAATAAATATCTGTAATGAATGGTTAGTTGCCACTTTGAAAGTATTTCATCCTAGCTAGACAAATTTCATATCATATTTATATTTGCATAAACTAAAGTCAAACATACCTTTATAATAGCTCTTGCTATAGTCATATCACATTCTAGTGATTTTTTTTCTTACATCTTTTTCTTTATAAAGCTTCCTAGCTAGCACCACTTGATTAGTCTTTCTACTTAGTGTGAACTTAGTCTTTCTACTTAGTCATTCTAATTTAGTCAAGGACGAACCTCTGAGAGATAATTTTTTTCTGTTCTTATGGACTGAACTAAGTTTGGAACAGTATTAGTGTTGAGGAAAATTATTTGTAACAGTATTTCTGTGGAGTCCATTCTGAGTATATATTCATAAACATCTAAGGGTTTTCTGAAAGAACATTGAAATACGCTTTCTTTTACTTGATAAAGGAAAATGAATGTAAGCATATAAGCTCAGAAGCAGTTTTATTGAACCTATCTGAGTTTGTAGTCATGCTGGAGGTAATGCCAAATACAATGATTTTTACTCTGTGGACTGATTATAAAGAAACACGGTGTGAACTGACATGTCAGGTGATGTAAAAGCCAACCATTTAATAAACATCCTTTGAATCACAGTAGCTGTTCAAAGTTCTGTAAATTCTTGTACTGAAAAGCACCATGTATTTTTTTAAAGATTTATTTAATTAATTTATGCATACAAGAGCCAGGGTGTAGGCCAGAGGTACAGGAGGGTGAGATGATTCCTGAGAGACAGAGTGGGGAGCAGAACAGGCAGATCTACTGAAATACACTGCTGAGGGAAGCAGCTGGCAAGACAGGAGAGGTCTGCTGCACCAGGTGGGTTAGCTCCCTGGCTGGGGATGGAATTCATGCCACAGTGGTTGGTGATAGCTTGATAGTGCTGGGACTTTAACCCTGCATCACCAGGGAGGGAGGCCCATAACCATGCATTTTAAAAGAAAATTGTTTTTAGAATTTAATATAAGTATGAATAATTTGAATTTTAAATACAGTCCTTTACTGAAAAAGTAAAGACAGAAGAAAGTAAAGTATAATACAACCTTGTTATAATGATATGAGGGACCCTGCTGATATCACAGACCAGAATCTCTAAGTCTCCATCATTGAAAGCAACTAGATTGTGAATGAATCATATTTTTATTGCACTAATGCACTTGTATGAAATTCAATCTCAAGGGGTGAAACAGAAAAGTGAGCTGAAGCCAGAACACTATGTAGTAAGCACAGGTGAAAGGAGAATTAGCCTGATATATATGTTGCATGTAGTAGACTAAACCTTGGGCTACATAACATAAAATATCAAATACTTAATTTGAGGAATATTCTACAAAAATATCTGGTCTACACTCCTGAGAAATCTCAAGGTCAAGAAAAAGAGAGGTTGAGGAATTGTTCTAGATTTAGGTAGTCTAAAGAGATGGTACAGCTAAATGCAGTGTGTGATTCAGAATTGAATCCTAGACTGGTGGATAAATTGGCTATAAAAAACATAATGGAGCAAGTGATAAGATCTAAATATGGACTATTGATAATTTTGTATAAATGATAAATTTCCCAATTTTAATCAGTATGTAGAAATCTGACTCGCTTGCTGCTCCCCTCAGCAGTGTACTTTTGGTCAATCTGCCTATTCTGCTCCCCACTCTGTCTCTGGTGAATCCTCTCACCTTCCACACCTCTGGCCTGTACCCAGCTCTTGTATGCATAAATAAATATTTAATAAAAAATCAGCTGGATTTCTACATCAGTGAACTATCAGGAAAAAAAATAAGAAAGTAATCTCATTTGCAACTGTAAATATTAAAAAAAAGTATAAATTTAACCAAGGAAATGAAAGACCTGTACACTGAAAACTGTAAGACATTTCTGAAAAAATTGAAGACACAAATGGAAAGCTATTCTGTTCTCATAGAGTAGAAGAATATTAAATATCAGTGTTTTAAATAAATATAAATTAAAATAGTCATACTACTCAAAGTAATTTATACATTCGATGCAATCCCTATCAAAATGCAATGGTATTTTTTTACAGAAATAATACAAACAATTCAAAAGTTTGTATACAACCATAAAAACCCTAAGCAACCATAGCAATTTATTTATTTATTTATTTATACAAGAACTGGGGTACAGGTCAGATGCATGGGAGGGTGAGAGGATTCACCAGAGACAGAGTGGGGAACAGAACAGGCAGACTGACGAAATATACTGCTGAGGGGAGCAGTGGGCATGACAGGAGAGTTCTGCTGCACCATGTGCGACCCTCGCCGGCCGGCCGGAATTGAACTGGTGCTGCAGAGGCTATGGACAGCTTCACAGCGCTGTGCTCAACTGCCTACGCCACCAGGGGAGGCCCAGTAACCAAAGCAATTTTGAGGAAGAACAAAATGAAAGCATCTTGCTTCCCAATTTTGAGTTATATTACAAAGTTATAGTAATCAAAAGAGTATTTTATGTCCATAAAAATGGACATATAGGCCAATGGAACAAAATAGAGAGCCAGAAATAAAATCATGCATATATGGAACCAAGATCATAAAATATGAAAAGGACAATCTCAGTAAATGGCGTTGGGCCTCCCTGGTGGCACAAGGGTTAAAGTCTCAGTACTATCAAGCTATCACTAGCCACCACAGCCTGAGTTGGATCCCTAGCCAGGTAGCTAACTCACTTGATGCAGCAGACTTCTGTCTCCCTGCTGCTTCCCTCATCAGTATATTTCATTAGCTCTGCCTGTTCTGCTCCCCACTCTGTCTCTGATGAATCCTCTCCCCACCACCCCACACCTCTGGCCTACACCCCGGTTCTTGTATGCATAAATAAATAAAAATAACACTTAAAAAAGACATAAATAGCAAAAGATGTATACTCTTACCCTCAGCTTTGCTATTTAAAATTATATAAAATTATGTTTAATCCAATTTATGTTAAATTGTATCAGAAAACCTGAGAGCATGTAATTCTGTGAGTTTTTTTTAATCACCATTATGTTTTTTTTAATTAATAATAAATTTTGAAGTGTTTCATGTTCTTAATTAGGAATAAAGTAGCTCATTTTCTCTAGAATAGCTATTATAATAGTGTCACTGCTATTAATAATCTGTAATGAAACTCATCTACTTGTCTGTTTTCTTGAATCAGTATACCTACTTAGTATACTATAATGTGGAAAGTTAAATAAAATAGGAAAGGATAGTCTTAGTGATAATAGCTAGTTCTACAGTT